GGGCAGACCGGTTTTTAGTTACGCTTGGCAGTTAAAATATTTGTGATACACCTGAGAGTGGAAAATAAACTTTTCTATTCTATTTCAAGCTTGGTAGTATGAATATCTGTGGTGAATTAGTTGTAACTCGGTCTCCTGCTTCTCTGTAAAGGTGCGCTCACAGTCAGCAGAACGTCTCTCTCGTACCTTCACAGAGAGAAACGTAGAAAGAACCGATTTGTTCTCTGGTAGTGTTATTTTATTCTTTACTTTGCAAAGGACTGAGAATGAACTTGGTTGGTTTACTCGTTGAAGAGCTTCAGTTCACATGACTCAAGACGTCCAAGGTAAAGAGAGAATTAATGTTGTTGTGATTATATTAACATGTATTATGTGAGGATTTGTGAGGAAGATATTCCTGGCTAATAACGTTGTTTGTTTTGTTCATTAAAGAGAATGAAACTGTAAAAGATGCATTTTATTGATGACAGATCAGAATATAACCTGATCCATCCCCCAAAAAACACTTGTATTATTTAGTAAAATATAATATTCAACAATAGCTTGAAGTGGTGTGTGTTCACTTTGTGGTATTTGTTATAAATGTTGGAGATAGAGCTTGATACTGTGCTTCATTTAAGACAATAAGAAGGTGATGTGGTCTGTTGGTTTACGCCCCTGCTCAAACAAATGATAAAAAGTTATATATCTGCAATCATAAGGTCCATTTGGATAATCTAAGTGTTACAACAAATCAGAATCAGCTTTATTGGCCATGTATGTTTACACATAAATGGAATTGGTCTCTGGTTACACGTTGCTCTCAATCGTACATAGATGTACAAATAAACAACAGAAATATAAAAAATATGAAAAAAGACAATAAAGACAACAAAATAGAACATGTGGCGCAGGGGCAGAGAGGGAGCGCCGGGAAGCGCAAGGGTGGTAGTTTGAGCCCGTTGAAGTGTCCCTTAGCAATGCCTAACCCCTAACGGCTCCCCGGGTAAAAAGCCATGGGTTAAAAATGCAATGTAAGTCGGCTAAATGACCTGTAATGTAATGTACCACTAAAACCAAGCATAAACATTTACTGGTATGTACAATATAAATATTAAGACTGTAGTAGTCGAATATAAATATGTGGTGCAAGTAATGGTTAATTGTTCATCAGAGTGACGGCCTGTGGAAAGACGCTGTTCCTGTGTGGTCGGTGGTTTTGGTGTACAGTCCTCTGCATATCGGAGGGGAGGAGTTGGAACAGCTTGTGTCCAGGGTGTGAAGGCTCTGCAGTGAGTGGGAACAATCTGACCAAGCTTCTTGTGGAGACTAGAAGCTTTAATACACATCAGAGAGGTTTGTGTTGTCCAATCAGAATCCCCCTTTTGCACAGGGAAATTTTAGTATGAAACACAGATGTGTAAGTGAACACTCCTAACCCTCCCTTAATGGGACGCAGGCAATCATATTTGACAGGCAGAGAGATATGGATCAGTCAAGGTACATACGGGTTCCATCTGTAGAAAGAGTGTACCCCCCCTGGACTGGTTTAGGTCACAGGTTTTCCATAAAGGTCACATACTGAGTTCCTGAGAAACTCACAATGTGCGGATCAAAAATTCTCCCCCAACAACCACAAAAGAGCATCAGGATGTGAAGACACACTGTAGATTGTTGGTGTGATGATGATGGTTGAGCCTCTTCTCCTCTGTCTCCTTCTCACAGGGAGGAGATGATCTGCAGCATCCTGGTGATCTTCATCCTGACCTCCTGTGTCTGTGGTCAGTTCACTTTTGTGTTTGTGAAGCAGCTGTGAAGCATCAGCACACACTCCTCAGAAACATCTGGAGATGGAGTCTAAAGGCTCCATGTTAAAGCTGTCACTTTGTCACCTCCTCCTCTCCTTCTCTGTCTCCTCAGCAGGGTCATTTGTAGTGAATGTGACACAGAGCTGGTATCATGCAGAGGAGAACCACAACATCTCACTGGAATGGATGTTCCCCACCAGCACGGACCCCTCCCCCAACGCCCTTTATGTCTACTGTGAGACGTTAATTAATCAGATACACTCAGTCCTGTTTCGTCTACATGAAGGTGTCGAGGTCCCAGAGTTTCAGGATGAACGCTTTGCAGGACGAGTCCAGTGGGACAAAGACGTCCTCAGAGAAGGACGACTCAGACTTCACATCTCCAGACTCCAGACTAATGACTCGGGGCTGTACTGGTGTCAAGTGCTCACAAGTTATGGGAGGAACTATAAGGAATGTCACCTCAATGTCACTGGTAGGTTCATTAAGTTAAACTTACTTATGATAATGAAACAGCCCTCAAGGAGGAATTGGTTCTTTCTTTGTTGACCACTGTTGACCACACGCAATTTTATCTTTAATAGAGAACTAAATTAATTAATTGAAACATCAAGATGATCAAACAGCTTAATATGCAACTCACACATTCAATGAGCCTTTAGGTTATTGTTGTTTATTTCAACATGACAATGATGTTTTCTTCACCGCTGCTAACGAGCCCGACCCAGTGACATTAGAGCCAGCACCGACCACTGATAGGTTTATTAAGTTAAACTTTATTCAGATAAATAAACCTTTTTCTTTACATGAATAAACTGATTTGTTGTCTCTTTGCAGCAGTGAAGGATCGACCCGAACCTGAGACATCGAGTGACACCAGACTGAGATGGATCGGCCTCTACTGTGCACTGGGACTACTGGGACTGACAGCAGCTCTACTGGTTACTTTATTTTATCTCTGCTTTGCAAACAAGACCAGTGATCAGCAGAACAAACGATACACCAGAAACACAATTCAAGTTATTGATCCTTTAGGTGTTTGTACAGAAACAGTCTGAGTTGTTCTGACTGAAGTCAACGGGCCAAATGTGAAAAAAGCCGCGTCTGCTAAATGACCTGTAATGTGATGAAGTCCAGCTGAGATGCATCACAGCATGAATGTAAGTCAATGGTGACATGAAGTGTCAGGGAGACTGTGGGTGTAGAGTCCAACCAGAGGATCAACGGTTCCATCCCTGCTGACCCGCGTGTTGATGAGCCCTTGAGCAAGACACTTAACCCAGCATTGCTCCTGTAGCTGTGACCACAGAGTGAGAATGGAGTGAATATTAGTTACTGACGGCAGGAAGCTGCTCATCAGTGTGTGAGAGGATCAATGAGGACATGAATGTAAAACACACCTCTACCTCGTACACCTGGACCAGGAAGCACTTTATTATCACTCATGATGGAACTTAGTACTTGAAGCACTTGTAGATTAGATTACTTAAAGAATTTGTACTTTCCTGATTCTTGTTCTAATTATGTTCCCTCTTGATTGAATTAACTTATTGTCACTTTGGATAAAACCTTTAGCTAGATGGTAAATGTAAAAAAAAGCACTTTGAGGGGTCGGGAGTGTAGAAAAGCCGATTTACAAGTCATTTTACATTTACCATTTATTGTGTTCAAGTTCAGTTACCGAACTTACTTACTTAACGCTACTTTTATTTTTTATGTATAATTTATATGTTTTTATATCAATAAATTGTACTTTTACGTGTAATAAAAAATGAACACAATAAATATCATTAACCGCTTACCAAAATCTAGCATTATATTTTTAATTACTCACGGAATGTTGGTTATTAAGAAATATGTATGTATATGTGTGTGTATGTTTAAAATGAAAAAAGCATCTTAAAAACCCAAATCAGTCTCTTCATTTGTCGTATTAATGCAATAAGTCACATAGTGATCAAATCCATCCTCAATACTACAAATGTATCACATGAAGGTAAATGTTAAGAGAGAAGCACACATTAAATAGTGGGCGGCTGTGGGTGAGTGGGGAGCAGGTCGTCCTCCAATCAGAGGGTTGTGGGTTCGATCCCAGGCCCGGCTAACCCGCATGTTGTGTCCTTGGGCAAAACACTTAACCCAACATGCTCCTGTAGCTGCGACTACAGTGTGTGGATGTTAGTTACTGATGGCAGGTGTCACTGTGTGTGGTTCTCCTGTCATCAGTGTATGAATGGATGTGAATGGGTGAATGATGTCATGTAGTGTTAAAGCGCTTTGAGAGGTACACACACTTCTCAGCATTCTGTCTATACAGTGAACACTCTTTTATTTCATAATTTGATCACTGAAGAGGTTGTTAATGCTGCTACATGATCTTCTCAGGATGAAGTTGTGTCATTGTGTAACTTCTCAACCAGCATCACTTAAAGTGTATTGTTTTTCTCTGACTGAGATTCAAAGGAAATCCACAGTCTTTACAGACTGAAGTGTTTTTTTTGTTCTAGACCTTCAGCTCCTCTAACAGAGACTCTGACTACTGAACATATTCTGCATTAAGCATCATGCTGCTCGTCATCAAAGACTAATGTTTCATCTGGTTCCTGTTCATAAAGAAAAGGAAACAGATTAATATTCTGTTTGTTAACTTGATTTTGCTCAGAGTGTCTGTTAGATTTCTGGTGACGTCACTGTACGTCTGGTCATTGCGCCTCGCTCCGCAGAATGAGGAACGTCACCACGTTGTGGTCGTAAATCATTTCACTGTCGTAAAGCCTGTATGAAGAGTGTCACGACCTGGCTCTTTGGGCCATGACAAGATTGGAGTTACACTGGTTTCCGAGGTGTAACATTCTTTATTTAACACACAAAACAACGAAAAACCATAACCATTCCAGATGGGATGCGAATGTCAGTATTATCAGTAGTGTAGGATGTGCATGAGGGTAAAATGTAAATGGTGGGTGTTGTCCAGGGCATTTAACCCAAAGGAAAACCGGATTCAACAGGCGGCTGCCCTACCACACCGGACGTCTGCTGGAGAGAGAAGAGAGCGACAGAATCAATGAATGAACACAGGGCTTTCTAATCTCAGGGCACCTGGCCCAGGTGCCTTCAATCACCAAATCTCATTGGAAGGCTGCTGCCTCCACAGCAGGGGTCGTCACAAGAGAAATAGAGCCTCACGCTGCCCCCTGCTGGCTAAAGGCTGGAGTGCACATTCTCTATAAACCCATTACACGTCTTTACACAAGTTATTATATTTCTATAAAATACACTGTTCACTTGAAACTATATTTTTTGTCAATGACAACAAAACACATGAAAAAAATATGTGTGGCCGTCACAAATGAAACAAAAACTTCGCACAATTAATACAATTAAATGCTGTTAATCACAGAACAGTCATGCGATTAATCAGGTTCAATTCTTTCATCTTCACTAATACTTACCACATTATACTTGTACAAAAAAATACACTGTTAGGTGATTTTCTTTTGGAATACTTTGTGCATGGAATAAAGCATTACCTTTTTAATCACTACGAAATCAGCGTCTTCATTTGTCGTATTAATTCAATAATTCACATATTGATCAAAACCATTAACAATAATATAAAGAAAGATTTTTTCACCAGGGAAATGATTAAGGAATGGCAGGATGGACAGGGACGATGGTCAGTGTTGGACTATGGCAGCATGGCATTTGGATCAGCAGCATGAGCTCATGCCGTTAAACTAGGTGTGATTCAGGCGCATTGAGAGTGTGTAGTGGAGCTGTTAAGACATCACCAGTACGGCCCTGCAGGTAGAGATGCATCTGATTTGTACATGCATACATGTACTTATTTAAATGTTTCATTGTATATGTTGTTTGTTTGTTTATCTCTATATATTCATATTTTGAAGGCGTGGCTACAGTGCGTGAATTGAGGGTTGCACAATGTCTGATACGCTCCTCCGAGCGCCAGGTGGCGATAATGAGCCAACTAGATGAACACGGACCGTAGTATCGCGAGAAGAGAATTCAATGCGGATGGCGCGAATAGACTTCAACCGTCAGTTCCTCCTCGGTCTCCTGCTCCTCTGTGGGGGTGAACTCTTACTCTGCAGGATCTCTCTCTCTTACCTTTATAGAGAGAAACATGAAACGAACCGAAACTTTGTTAGTAAATGTTATTTCATTCTTAACTTTGCAGATGGATTCTGATGAACTTCACAGACGGAGGAGTTTACTTGTTGAAGAGATTCAGTTCACATCACTCAAGACGTCCAAGGTAAAGAGAGAATGACTCAATGTTTGTGTGATTATATTAAGATTTATTACGTGAGGATTCATGGATTACACAAGATATTTATGGGTAATACAGTTGTTTTGTTCATTTAAGAGAATTAAAGTGTGAAATGATCAAATTGATTGAAGACCGATCAGAATATAACTAAAGAATTATTGTCAACAACAGCTGGAGGTTGTGTGTTATTTGTTATAAACGTTGGTACGTAGATGTTCACACTGCTTCATTGATGACAATAAGAAGCTGATGTGTTGGAGGAAACATGAGGTTTGTTAGAAGAAGTTGAGGTTCGGTTGGAAACTCGACGAAGGGACAGAAAAAGACCAGCTTCGATCAGCCGAGACAGTTTGTGCATCTGTTCTGCTCGTGATCGACAACAACACGGTGACTTCCGGTGCGTTCACAACAAAACCGAAGCGAACTTCCGACTCGCTTTACTCGCGCATGCAAGTTTACTCGCGTGAAATCGGGTTATTCGCTTCAAGTGCGCCCGGAAGTCGGCGTGGTGGAAGCATGACGTCATTATCGACACAGGTTAGCCGTTTCTCAATACCTAAGACGGCGAGAACGGACTCGCGTTCCCGCGAGAATAGACTCGGGAGACAGACTCGGGAGTCCTGACTCACGGGTACGGGAGAACGGAGAACGGACATTTCCGCAATTGGAACAGCAGCTGACTTGATGACGTCACCACAGTAGGCGGTCTTTGTTTACGCACGCAAGTATCTCATCTGCCATCGCAGCTTGCTGAGGTGAAATGCATTCTGGGATATATGTCTCTCACAAGAACAGACGAGCCTGCTTCGATGCATGCCCGGTAAAATGGGCGGGGCGAGTCACATCCGGGTATTATGACCGTTCTCGGCCAGATGCGGACTTGAGAATTGGAACAGTACTCGGGCTGTGACTGATGACGTTTCACGAGTCCACGAGAACAAAAGTCCACACAAGAACGCATATTGAGAAACGGCCGTTGACTCTCTGCGACTCCTCCAGGAAGTGGATGACTGCGGCTTCCAGCGCTGTTTCAGGCGGACCAGCAGCCGGTCTGATGACCTGGGCCCGTTTTTTCAAAAGGTTTAATCCGGATAATATTGATCCGGATTTAGTAATCCTTTTTTTTTGCGATCCGTGATTACGTAATCCGGCTTACTTTTGAGCCAGTTTTTCAAAGCAACATCGGATTGGATCAATCTGATTCGGATAGGAACTTTTCAGGATCACCAAATCTGGATAACCAGTGGTCAAACAGGATAGGAAATCACAATGTAGAACTATAGGTATGTAAAGAGCAACAAGTAGAATAGCCAGTGTGGGGTCAATATAAGTTTATTTTTATTTAAAAAAAGCTAAAAACAAGAAAAACAGACTCCATCCTCTTCCAGCAGTCCGCTCATCTGAGACCTACAACACAAACACTGTACATTGAGGATATTTATAACAAGTTTCAAATATACATGTATTGAATTAAAAAAAAAGACTTAATGTCAAATACTCCACAATAATTTCAGACTTCCTCATCTGATGTGGAGAGACCAGCTTGTCTGAGCGTAGCCTTTAGGAGGCGGATCTCAAGTCTGGCCTTGGTTTGCTGCAGTTTGGTTGGTTGTTCCTCTGCCAGAACGAGCAACACAATGGGCTCGTCGTGGCGCAGAGGTTAGAGAAGGTGTGTGTTCCATGTCAAAGTGTCCCTGAGCAAGACACCTAACCCCTAATTGCTCCCTGGGCAAAAATGTGAAAAAGCCATGGGTTTAAAGTGTAATGTAAGTCCCTTTGGATAAAAGCGTCTGCTAAATGACCTGTAATAATAATAATAACAAGGGACGCAATAGTTAGACACTATTTCTGATTTGGATTTGTTTTGGATTTCAAAAATCAGTGATTGCCATTCTTTGCATTTTTTTTGGTTATTCTGTAATCATTGCATGCATCACGAATAAATATTCTAAAAACAAAAATATTTTCGATTGAAAATATTTTCGATTTTCGATTGTGATGAATATATATATATATATATATATATATATCAATTAGTGACAGAATAAAATGTATTGTCTTTGGTCAATTTTGACAGCTGTTTGGGGGATTATTTTATGAGGCCAAACTCTTTCTACCTTTGCTGTAGGTCTATACTGAAAGGCTGAATACGTTAAAGCCTTCCTAATCACTGTAGCCTGACGGATGATCAAATACAATTAAAACCTTATGAATTAATAGGATATCTTGTAAGATACTGCATGGTCCAAAAATAGTATTATTTGACACATTTTTAAAGTTTTCATTACATTTTGGGCATGAAATCCACGCTGAATCCACCCTTCTGATGGGATCCGTTTAATCCAGATTTTTTGGATCAAAACTAAAGGTTTGATCCAAATCAAAACCAAAATTGGATTACGTGATCTAATCCAATTATGTAATCAGTTTTTTCTTTTGAAAAATCCATTTTCAAGATTTGATCCAATCAGTTATCCAAAATCCTAGTGGATTACTTTTGAAAAACCGGGCCCTGTTGGGTCGATCGGTTACACACAAACTAATTTACAGGCGTTCAGTGTGTGTGTGTCTCTCATGACGTCAGTGGAGTAAAGAAATCCATACAGCTCGTAGAAGGCTTCCATGTGTGAAAATCTCTCCTTCAAAGTAATAAGAGCTGTATCAATAAGAGGAAAGTATATCTCTTCTGCAGTTGACTGAGTTTGCTCTTTGCCTTCATACTCAAACTGTCGGGTTGTTCTTCTCTGACGCACCTCTGGCCAGCTCATCTCCACCTCAAGCCTCTCTGCCACTTCCCTGGCCTCTGTCTTGGCGGTGTTGAACCCATCATCCAGAAATTCCTGAAGGAATACTGTCACAGCCCTGATTTCTTTCCTGACTGTTTTAATTGACACGTTCTGGCTCTGCAGGGCCTTGCTGGCTTTATTTATCTGGAACAACACATTTATGTAATTTTGAATGTGTTTGCTTAAGTAATTGTCACTTATCTCGTTGGCTTGACTTGACTTCTCCTCAGATGTTCTCTCATAATTGGGTCAAACTGAGCCATGAGTTGAACCCAAGGAAATTTCCATTTCCAGGCTCAAACAGTCAGTCAGAGTGGCCACGAAATGCTAGATTGCGCTCTGCCAGATGGTTAACAGTTGCAATTAATCTCGTCAGAACTTCTTTCCAGCGGTTTACTTCAAGAGAAAGAAGATTTTGGTTCATCTGATCGATAGCCGCGTGTGTCTGTAGTTTCTGCGATAGGTTGCGCCAAGCATCCATATTTGCAATGTGCTCAGCAGACTTTTCATGCTGTCTCAGGGGGGCTGAAATATTTTTCCAAAACATTGAACCCATCCTCACTCGGCTGATCGCTCCTTTCTCGGTTTCCAAATAGGCGGCAGCAAAAACAAATAACACGGTCCTTCTTTTCACTGTAGACAAGCCGTGATCTGCATATCCGTTCTCCATTTTTCATCTGCATGTAGTTGCTGCTGGTAAATCTGTGCCCGTCTTCATTCCTCGGGAAGATCCCGTCCTTCACCTGAAGTGGTCCCCTCTCCACTATTGAGCAGCGTGCACTATCCGACAGCTGTTTTGGCCAGAGTGCTGGATCGTTTCCTAGAAGTACAGTGGATGATGCCCATCCCTGTCTCATTCTGAAAACAAATACAAAACACAGCATAAGGCTTTTACCCAGTGGTGAAATGTACAGCATATTTACTAATGTAGACATTTGAGGAATTCATGCAACTTCAATTTTGTCTGCGCTGCTGTACTTTAAACTCCACTACAGTACATTAAATGAAATGGCTGGTTACATATTTCAAACCTTTCCTGCCTCATGAAAACCACGTACCCTCCAAATGATGATTTAATGCTAATATTGTGATAAACTGAAAGAGTCTTCCTTTGTGGGGTGACTTTTAAAGCAAAAACTCAGTACATGAATTCATTAAAAATTAGCTCCACCTTAAATATCTACAGCAGTAAATGATAACACGCATTAAAACGATATTAATATGAAGTTATAACACTGAGGGATCATTTTTTAATGAAGAGTGATAGTTTTTAATAACTTAAATGGTTTATGTTTTTAATGCATAACTTTACACATTCAGGACTAAATCACCCTTAGACAGTTTTGACACACACATAATACGATACGCATTCTGCTGGCATTTTAGCGAGAGAATTTTAATCATAAATATAATTAATATGCGCAAGAAAGTAATAACTTTATCAACCATAAGTGTATGAGGATTTTTACGGGGCCCCTCAGGAACTTGGGGCCATAGGAAACTGCCTAGTTTCGACTAATCTTTCGATAGACCGCGCCGTGCGAAGATTCGCTCGTTTAAAATTCGCCTCATTCGCGACGCGTCTGTGCATTGACTGAACATGGAATCTACTCGCGCAAATAAATCGCTTCGCTTTTGCTGTCTCCTCTCACAAGGACGAGATGATCTGCAGCATCCTGGTGATCTTCATCCTGACCTCCTGTGTCTGTGGTCAGTTCACTTTTGTGTTTGTGAAGCAGCTGTGAAGCATCAGCACACACTCCTCAGAAACATCTGGAGATGGAGTCTAAAGGCTCCATGTTAAAGCTGTCACTTTGTCACCTCCTCCTCTCCTTCTCTGTCTCCTCAGCAGGGTCATTTGTAGTGAATGTGACACAGAGCTGGTATCATGCAGAGGAGAACCACAACATCTCACTGGAATGGATGTTCCCCACCAGCACGGACCCCTCCCCCAACTCCTTTTATATCACTTGTGAGATGTTAGCTGATAAGATACCCGTAGTCGTGTTTCATCTATATGAAGGTGTCGAGGCCCCAGAGGATCAGGATAAACGCTTTGCAGGACGAGTCCAGTGGGACAAAGACGTCCTCAGAGAAGGACGACTCAGACTTCACATCTCCAGACTCCAGACTAATGACTCGGGGCTGTACTGGTGTCAGGTGCTCACAAGTTATGGGGTGAACTTTAAGGAATGTCACCTCAATGTCGCTGGTAGGTTCATTAAGTTAAACTTACTAACACGTTTAATTCAGCAGCTTTATTCAGATAAATAAACCTTTTTCTTTACATGAATAAACAGATTTGTTGTGTCTCTTTGCAGCAGTGAAGGATCGACCCGAACCTGAGACAAACGAGTGACACCAGTCTGAGAGGAGATCCTCGGGGAAGGGATTGTTCTCTACTGTGCACTGGGACTCACAGCAGCTCTACTGGTTGTTCATTAATTTTATCTTTGCATTACCAAAAGGATTAGAGATCAGTACAACAAACAATACATCAAAACCACAATTCAAGTTATTGATCCTTTAAGGTTTTGCACAGAAACAGTCTGAGTTGTTCTGACTGAAGTCCAGCTGAGACACATCTGGATCTTTGGATGTCTCCCGTGTGTCTCATGGACCAACAGCAGCATGAAGGGTATCAGTGAGTCTACAGAGACACGTGTGACTCAGGGAGCCCAGCTGGGTGAACGCTGAGCCCTCGTTGTGTGTGTGAAGGTCAGTTAGTTTAGTTTCATCAGGGACCAAACTGATTCACCTTCTGACATCACAGCATGAATGTAAGTCAATGGTGACATGAAGCGTCAGGGAGACTGTGGGTGTAGAGTCCAATCACAGGATCAACGGTTCCATCCCTGCTGACCCGCGTGTTGATGAGCCCTTGAGCAAGACACTTAACCCAGCATTGCTCCTGTAGCTGTGACCACAGAGTGAGAATGGAGTGAATATTAGTTACTGACGGCAGGAAGCTGCTCATCAGTGTGTGAGTGGTTGAATGATGTATAGATGTATAGATATATATTTATTTATTTATATACCGGTTTAATTTTTGTGTTCTCTGACTGACATTCAAAGGAAATCCACAGTCTTTACAGACTGAAGTGTTTTTTTGTTCTAGACCTTCAGCTCCTCTAACAGAGACTCTGACTACTGAACATATTCTGCATTAAGCATCATGCTGCTCGTCATCAAAGACTAATGTTTATTCTGGTTCCTGTTCATAAAGAAAGAAAAAGATTAATATTCTGTATGTTAACTTGATTTTGCTCAGAGTGTCTGTTACATTTCTGGTGACTTCTGGTCATTGCGCCTCGCTCCGCAGAATGAGAAACGTCACCACGTTGTGGTCGTAAATCATTTCACTATCGTAAAGCCTGTATGAAGAGAAATAGAGCCTCACGCTGCCTCAATATTGCATTATGCACATAATGCGATTAATCGATATTAATCGATGACCACAGAAAAATCGTGCAATTTATCAAACTCAATTTCTTCATCTTTTTCTAACATTAATACATACCATTTCATATTTGTACAAAAAATACACTGTTATATTACTTTTATTTATTATCCTACTTGTATCTTTGAATATATTGTGCCTGGAATAAAGTATTACCTGTTTAATCACTACGAAATCAGTCTCTTCATTTGTCGTATTAATTCAATAAGTCACATAGTGATCAAATCCATCCTCAATACTACAAACGTGTCACATGAAGGTAAATGTTAAGAGAGAAGCAGATTAAATACACTCAGCATACAAGGTACACACACTTCTCAGCATTCTGTCTATACAGTGAACACTCTTTTATTTCATAATGTGATCACTGAAGAGGTTGTTAATGCTGCTACATGTCGTGATTATTAGTGACCATTGAAAAGTCCTGAGGAGAGTTCTCTAAAGTGAGAGAAATAAGCTGTAGGCTGACTTCTGAGCGGACCGACGGCCTGCTGGCCGGGTCCTCTCGTCTCATCGTCTCTCGGGTGAAACCACAAGAACCACTCAGGTTCAAAACAAAAGTGTATCAAGCAGCGAAATCCAGATGAGGTGATTTATGAAATGCGAGTGTGTAAAGTGTGAAACATGTTGGACTGTTGCTCCAGACGCTCGTCCTCCTGTTCAGTAGTCGAGATCATCAGCGTTCACCCTGTTGCCTCGTCTTAGTCAGGAGGGCCGTACTTTAGGCCTCTGTGAGTACATGAATATGTGGTAGAACACCTGTGAACACGCGTGTGCGTGTACTCCAGTGCTGTGGAGTCAGTTTACGCTGTGAATAAACAATGAGGACATGTGAAGGACAGACGTTATGAGGCATGATGGGACATATCTAGCAGCTTGGGGACCAATGGGTGTCCATCAGGGAGCAGATGTTCAACTAGAAGACGATACCTGTTCCATCCACCAGGGGGCGTCACGTGATCACACTACTAACTACTGATAACAACCAGGTTCTCTGCATCTGCACCGCTGCAGTAGTTCCCACACGTTTGATTTGACAACTTTATGAAGAATATTCATGTTAAAATGCAGTTTATAAAGAACAATGTTTAATTTCTTTAACAATATTAAGCTTTCGTTTCGAATCAGCTCACTTTGTTTCTCTTCTAAAGGTGGAGGTGGTGGGTGGAGACTGTGTCCTTAAATTCCTCACTGTCTGTGGTGAAAGCATTTTCGGTTGAGACGAACGTGTTACTACAAGTCCAAAGACTTCAGGGAGCCGCAGGAGTCGAATGTCAACGATGAGATCTGTGTGATCGATGTATGATGTGAGCACCAAAACCTTCACTCATGGGAAAGGTTTAGGATGAACGTCAATGACTGAGGAGTTTACTTGTTGAAGACCTTCAGTTCACATGATTCAAGACGCCCAAGGTAAGGAGAGAATGACTTAATGTTGGTGTTAGAATTATATTATATATATATGTATATATATAACATTTATTATGTGACGATAGCTGGATTACAGAAGTTATTAACAGGTAATAACGTTGTTTGTTTTGTTCATTAAAGAGAATTAAACCGTAAAACTGCCCTTATTAAAGTTGTAAATGACATCCGTCTTAACACAGACTCTGGCAAAACTTCAATATTAATGCTATTTGACCTGAGTGCTGCATTTGATACTGTCGACCACTCAATACTTCTGGACAGGTTGGAAAACTGGGTGGGGCTCTCAGGCACAGTCTTAAGATGGTTCAGGTCATATCTACAAGACAGGAACTATTTTGTTTCCATTGGTGACTTCGTATCAGAAGCAACCGACATAACGTGTGGAGTCCCCCAAGGTTCGATCTTAGGGCCGACTTTATTCAACATCTACATGCTCCCACTAGAACAAATCATGCAAAAAAATAAAATTGACCACCATTGCTACGCTGAAAGACACCCAAATCTATGTAGTGCTATCACCAAACGACTATCGCCCCATAGATCTTCTGTGCCAGTGCATCGAGCAAATCAAAGACTGGATGTGTCAAACTTTCCTACAACTAAATGAAGACAAAACTGAGATCATTGTATTTGGTGCTAAAAAAGAAAGGTTTAAAGTAACCCAACACCTTCACTCTCTGTCCCTGAAAACATGAAATAAAGCCAGAAATCTGGGGGTTATTATGGATTCCGATTTACACTTGGAGAGTCACATCAAATCAGTAACAAAATCGGCCTACTACCACCTCAGAAATGTGCCACGACTTAGAGGGCTCATGTCATCTCAAGACTTAGAAACACTTGTACATGCCTTTATAACTAGTAGCCTAGATTATTGTAATGGTCTCCTTGCAGGTCTTCCAAAAAAAACTGTCTGGCAGCTCCAGCTTGTTCAGAACGCTGCTGCTAGAGTTCTAACAAAGACCAAAAAATGTGAGCACATTACACCAATTCTTAAATCCTTACATTGGTTCCCAGTATGTCAGAGAATTCATTTCAAAATCCTACTGCTCACATATAAATCACTACATGGTTTAGGGCCAAAGTATATCACTGATATGCTTCCACTACATAAGCCTTCAAGATCACTAAGATCTTCTGACACCATCTGTTAGTGATTCCCAGAGTAAATACAAATCATGGGAAAGCATCATTTAGTGACTACGCAACAAACAGCTGGAATAAACTTCCTGAAGATTTAAGACTTGCCCCAACTCTGACCACGTTTAAAACAAGACTGAAAACCTTTATGTTCAGCTTCGCCTTCTGCTAAATTTTACCTACATTGCACTTTTAACCTCTGCCTTTAATTAAACAATTTAAATAAGATTTTAATTTATAATTTTATTTGCTGTTTTTAATTGTCTTTTAATTCCTGCATTTTATTTCACTATATTGTATGAAATGTTATGATGTGAAGCACTTTGAGTCTGCCTTGTGTATGAAAAGCGCTATACAAATAAAATTGCCTTGCCTTGCCTAAAAAGATGTATTTATTATTATTATTTATGACAATTCAGAATATAACCTGATCCACCAAGAACAACTTTATCATTTAGTAAAGAACATTTTCACTATTAGCATGAGGTGGTGTGTTCACTGTGTTGTTAGGATCAGGAAACATTGATTACCATAATATGTCAGACATACAAGGAATTTGACTTGGCGGTTGATGCGTAACAGCAGACAGTACGACAATGAACGACAAGACAACAGTATCAAATAAAATATAACGCTATGGGTCAGTTTAAAAATAAAGGAATGAAAGTTAAAGTTTAAAAGTGAAAAGGTTGGTGGAGCTGTGGGGATGGAGTCAGGACATTGTCTATAGAATCTGCAGTAGGACTCATTCAGCCCGTCTGCCAGGCGGAGGTCTTTCATGGAGTGGAGGGTTTTGGCTTGTAGCTTGTGAGGCGTTTAAGGCCTCCAAACCAAAGCAGAGTCACTTGCTGAGACTGTTGTTGGAGTTTCTCAGACTCAAACGCTGCTTCTGTTTAGTTGTGACTCTGTGAAGAAGAAGGAGACCAACTAAACAATCAGGGATGAAGAATTAAGTCTCTGAATTAAATAGAACTTTCTCCATTTATTTAACTTGCAAGTGAGAAAAGTCATAACAGATAAGTGCTCATAGACTGAGGGACTCTGTCCGTGTCTCACGCATGTGGACCACGTTTCTTCACCTCAGCGAGTCGCGAATCCTCCAACAGAACTTTGTCCGTTTGATGAAAACATTCCTTAGGTGTGATTCCCAACGTCTCCTGACGCTGCGGGTCATTGAATGCGTCCTGACACCTTTTGATAATTCCTTTTGCCCTTTAAACGAAGATATGTAAACACCAAGTACCAACCTGAAAACAAGAAAAGGACTTTTATTTACGTAGATCCTTTTTAAAAAATGTTTTGACTATAAAAAAATTACAGATTTATTTAATGCTATTATTTGATGTGATGTTTAGGGTTTATTTGCAG